ATAATGGATGGTGGTGCCGATAAGTATCCGTATCAAACCGTCGCCGTTGTGCACCCAGACTCGCCGAGGGCCCTCCTAATTATTTTGTGTAGTTGCAGCGGCCGGCTGCAGGGTGCGTCGTCAGCTGGTGGCGGCCACAAGCGTTGCGCTGGGCCCAGACGCGGTTTTTGCGTGGAGGTGGAGGGGGTCCTGTGGGGCAGAAGCTATGGGTGGTGAAAGGAATAGGACGAACCTGACCTCAGGAAGGAAACCTCAAAATAACCCCAAGAGGAAAACCTCAAAATAAATTGTTGCATAACATTTTTTTTTCAATCTTGTTTTCGGCTGTTGTGAATTCTAATCTTGTTTTTACCTCATTTACCAATTTAAGTCCTTTTGGGGTACGAGTGAATGTTCAAACATGTACTGAATTATGCAGTTCATATTTGGACATGTATGTACTGCATGTTGTCCAAATATTCCTACACCATTATATTCATACTTTTTATTTCCTTACATTCTACGCTTGATTTTTTTTCAGTTTAATTTCGAAAGATGTAATTTCGTGTCAAGTCATTTCATACAATAGAATGTACAGTATGGGAACCTTTAACTACCAAATGCGTATTACGTAGAGTAATATTTGTTATTTAAAAATTTGCTTTTGCATATCAGTGACCAAGATAAAGTTCATGAGTAATGGGTGTATATCAGGGGTTTTCAAACGTATTTCGTCCACGGCTCCCTTGACCTAAAAGAAGCTTCCCGCGGCTCCCCTGGCAACAGTAAGTTTTTAATATAAGGGTTAATGTAGGCTTACTAAAGATGCAACACAAATGAGTGATATAAAAGGCTATTGGTAAAGGACTTGCCATGGTCAATTTATCCACAATTAATTAGTAAAATAAAAAATGTATATTACAAATAACATATAGTAAGATAGTACAAGATTATTTTGAAAACGTAAATATCATAAGAATTAAATTAAATCAAATCTAAAGATTATTTTTAATAATTCACCGCGACGCCCCTGGTAGCCGCGACGCACAGTTGAAAACCCCTGTTTTATACGTTGCTAGCTGCGTTTCAAGGTAACAATTGTTTCGATATTTCTGGACGATATCCGTGGAAGTTCGCTTCTGAAAAGCAAAGGACAAAAACCAGGTGTGGCAACGGAGCCTTTGATTACGCTAGTTTGCACTTGTGTACGCGCCGACTTGAGAATATCCTGGCCTGCCCTCCACACGGCCGTGGCGCGAGCACATATGCGCGGAGTGCGTACGAGGCGCCGTCGCTCGTCTGTTGTTCTCTGACGCAGTGCGTGTGAAATTGCGTGGGCAGCGAACGCAACGCGACGCGACGCGACGCAACTGCCTAGAACACAGCACGCAAGCGAGCGAGCGACCAGTCGTTATGTTATAATTTATTTTGGTCGACACCTCCAGAGAGTATAAACTGCAAGCAGGAAGACAGCATAACATGCAAATAAACAACTTAAAAATATGTACAGTTGCGTAACCTGAGAAGTCTTGGAAAGTTTTTCCTATTGCCACGTGATGTACGTTTAGATACTAACTTAAACGTTGCAAGATTTTTATGCATGGAGTCATTAAGTGTTGAAAGATTATTATCGAAAATTTATTTTTGTTTGGGAAATGTTTTCTCATTTCTATTTATGAAATTTGCTGAAAATATTAAGAAGGAAGTGAAGTTCCTGAGGAGGAATAATTTTACAAATTTGAGATGCACTTCTCAGTTGATGAGAAGGGGATCTGAAACCACCTTGATTTATAATAAAACATATTTTGTAATTCCGAGTGAAATTTAATGGTAAATATTTATTGTTTATCACAGGTTCAAAGAAAAATATCACTAGACACTGCATGATTAATGCTGTGTTTTTCTGGGTTGAACGTTGGTATTTCTTACAATATCAAAGTCAAATCACCAATAAAGATTTTATTTCCATTTTCACACACTTTCGATTTTGAAAGAATTAGAGATGTGATTCATTGAATGAAAATCCTATGAAATTAAATTTGTAAGTAGTTGTTTAGTTTCACTGATGAATTTTTGAGTAAATGTTAATGTCTAACCTTCGACTGGACTGCTGGATATTCCATAAATACCGATCGTCGGGTTAGAGATATTTGCAGCCACTACACTAGCGGGTAAATGCAAGCTCCCGTTTCGCCTTACGCAATTTTCACTGCAGAACGAATATCTCGAGAACACAGCGTAATTGTCTCGCGAAAGGTATTATTCACACTCGTAAAGAATGCTGGCGCAAAGGTCAGCAAATGCTGCGCTGTTCATGACACTGCCCCGGCCATGCATGATGCAGCTGCACCGGGGCGGCTGCACCAGTGAAAAACAGAGGACAATCTGGGCGCCGCCAGCCGCCTGAACACGAAATAGGCGGAGCCACTGCACGGGGCAGCGTGCCCGGCGTGCTGGCGCTCGCGCTGGCCAGGCGCCTCCACGGACGCCCCAGACCATTTAAAATTACTCGGCGATGCACTGTACTCAGAAACTATAAAATAGAATGGCATGAAAGTGGGAGGTTTTAAATTTAGGGTACGGGGAGAAGCTGACGTAATGTTAGAATTAATATTTTGAGAAAACCGCAAACTTTAGAGGGAGCAGTTTTTGAAGATAGCAAGAAAACGTCGGGTTATTGACAACTTAGGGTTCGTTCAGAATTGCAGAATCGTTTCGGTTTACGACCGCGAATAAATTCATAGAAAGGCCCTGGAGCCTGGCATCGAGGGGTTATCGACCGTTGGCGTCAGCGGCAGGCCGTCGGCGGGCCGCCTGCTGGCGCGGCGGCGGCGGCTACGGGCCACGGCAGGCGGGCGGCCGGAGACCTGCCTGTCGCCCGCGCCCCGTGCCCTTTTCGGGCTCCCCNNCCCCCCGAGAGGAAAGTAGGCCGGTTGCAGCCCGCACCCGCGCGCACGACTACCGACCGACGCCCTGCGAGGTGCGCCCGTGCGGATCAGCGGGCTACCCGGCCCGGCCCTGCCCGGTCCGGCGTTTGGTCGGCTACTAGCCCGCGCGCATGATTGAGCCTACGTTGCCCTGCGTGTGGGGGGCTCCTACGCTCACACGAGGTTCTTTTCCTGCACTCGGAGAAATTTTTATTCTTACTCTCTCTCTCTCTCTCTCTCTCTCTCTCTCTCTCTCTCTCTCTCTCTCTCTCTCAATCACACACACACACACACGCACGCACCTGCGCGCGAACACAAAGTTCTTGCCACTTTGCGTAAATCTTTTGAAGAAGAAGGAATATTGAAATGCATAGTAAATTGCTGCTGCATGAGTTTCCATGAACTTTTTCTGCGAGCATTTTGAAGCTTTGTTGGTTTCATCGGGCACAGAAGTTCAATAAAATACAGCGTAGAGAAAGTCACTGAAAGGATTTGGAGAAAAATCGAATACATGCCTAATTCAAATTACGAACATGTAAGTGTTTGGGAGACTTCATTGTAACATGATCTTTAGGCCGACTGAAGTCGGCAGAAGCACAGTGACACACTTGGCATGTATTTCGTATTTTGAAATTTTGTAGTTTAAACCAAACGATAAATAAATTAAGTAAAAATATTATTTGAGATTTTTTAATGGTTTCAGTGTCATGTCACCTTTCCAAATTTCGCTTCTAATTAACATTTGTTATTTGACAAAAGAAAAATAATTGACAACCATTTTCGGTTTTAAACATTATTATTAGGAGAATGTAGTATCAATAATATATATTACACTTTCGTTTTTACTGCGATATCCATTCACTACTTTTTAAAATAAATTCAAGCTCGCTGGAGCTCCAAAGAACTTGTAGCTTTTAGGCCTAACTTCACGTCCGACGCCAACCAAGCTTCGGGTCCTGCGAAACGAACTGTGTTGCGTTTCCGTCCAAGAAAACCCCAATTACAAACACCTTACGGTGCAATAGCGCGACCGGTTTCTCCCTTTTTCACGTAACGGCGAAAATAGCCCCCGTTTTCCTTTCCTTTTCACTTGGCGCGCGCGGCCGCGCCGTCCCAGAAGCCGATACGCATCGCGGCGCGGGCGGGCGGGCGGGCGGGCGGGAGCGGGGCGGCGCGCTACTATTAACGTTAAATCTCTACCACGTGCTCCCGCAGATAAAGGGAAATAGGCAACGGAATCGCGTTTTCTCACCAGACAGCAAAGGAATCGACCGCTTTAAAGGGAACGACCCGACAGCTGGGCTCCGGAGACGCGGGCGGTGGTGGCGGCGGCGCGGCGGGGCGAGCGGGCGGACGCCGCGAGCTGACTGACCAGCGCTGGCCAGGCACCAGCGACCCCGCCTGCCGCGCCCCCGTGCCCTCCCGCCCGACCTGCACCGCTCCAAATAATTGCGCGCGAGCCCAAGAGCGTCGCATAAATTTTATTCGCGTCGTGTCGTGTATTTAATTAGGAGGCGGAATCTCTTGCCGCCCCCCCACGTTTCGCGCTGGAGACGGACTCCGCGACTTGGCCGCTTCGCGGCCGAGCGCCGCCGTCCTTGCATCGGGCGTGGCGGCGGCGGTTTTCCAATGCAGTGCCGGGATTTTAAAAGCCATACTACTACGGCCACCACCCTGGATTCGCCCGGCGCTTTAATAAAAAAATATTTTTAATTATCGCGCGGGGGGGCGGCAACGGGTCGTGGTCGCGTCGAGCGCGCGGGCGGGGAGGCGGCGAGGGCGGGGCCTGCCGCAGGGCCGGGGGGGCGCCTGCTGCGGTGGGCGGGGCCGTCGGCGGCGGTGGACGGGGGCGGCCGGGGCGGAGCCAGCGCGGCGGCGCGACCCGTCGTTGGAAGGGGGCAACCGCACGCCGGTCTGCCGAACCGCTGCCTCCCTCCTCCCTCCCGCACGCGCGCGCGCCGTCCGCCGCCGCCGCCCCCCAGCGCCCCGCCCGCGTCGCGCCCGCCCCCCCACCCCCGCCGCGCGCACCTGCCTGCCTGCCTGCCGGAGCCCAGGGCGCCGCTCGCGCCACCTCGCTGCACATTCCTCGCCGCCCTGCAGCCGCGACGTAGGGCCGAGCGCGCCCCGACCCCCTGAGTCGCGCACACGCACGACTCCGACGCGGTGCCGCCTTGTCACAGTCCTGATCTGCCATACCGTTGCAGAGTCCCGCCGTGCTCCGCCGAGTGCACTCGCCCGCGGCCGACGCGAACCCGCGACGCCAGCCCGCCAGCGACGGAAATGACTTCGCAGCCGCCTGGCGCCAGCCGCGCCCGCCACCCACTCCGCCGCTAAGTCCCCGGCCGACGGGAGCGCAGCGAGCGGACGAGAGCGCAGCATGAACAGCGGCGACACCGGGCGAAGTGGGATCTGTGCGCGGTGGACCGCTCACACCTCGCTCGCGGAGGCCAGCAGGTGCATCGGGGACTTTGCGCCGGGAGCGACGTCGAGCAGTGGCGCGGCGAACGCCGGTCGAGCCTCCCCAGCGCTCCGAGGCGAGCGCCCTCGAAACCTGCCCGCGGATCTTCTTGCCACTGCGTCGACGGCGTTCTTCTGGAAGAAGTAAATGTGTTCGACGAGTGTCTGAAAGTGATGTTTTGGAATTCGGCATCCGAGGACGATGTACGCCAGTAGTGACGCGAGTACGAACTTCAAGTTTAGCGAAGTGACTTTCGTGCTGACACCCAGAGGAGATCAGTGAACATTGCAATCATGTCCATTTGCTTACGCATTACGTCGTGTGGAGACACTACGAACGTCAACCATCCAGTCATCGAGGGAACTTGTACGTATAAGTCTTGTCCGTTTGTGAACAAGTGCATGTACGAACTTAGGCCGGAATAACGATCTTGAGTGTTGTGTCAGTATATCTGTTGTTCGTTACTGGGTGGATGTGTTTGTTTCGCGTTGATTTTTCACACACTTGTGAATTGTGTAAATTATTTGTTTCAATTTTGTGAAGTTTCTCGTGCACCATGAAACAGAAGATCGAAACTTAAAACACACAATTGAAGTTGAGTTGAGGCTGATTATGTCCATTAGAAACAGCCAGCATATGAAATCATGGAGGTTCCGTGTTTAACTCCTTGGAATGCTTTTCGTGATTCCCTAAAATATTAACGGACCGGCCCTCAGAACCATCTTTCACCTGATACGATTGTAGTTTCTCTAGAAAAGCAATTTACAAACAAATCAGTAAATTCTACTTGATTTGACCAACGTTATTCTCGTTTGCGACAAACAAGTTTCGATCTGAGACCCTACACCTAATCAACTCAGTCATACAACCAAAGGCCGTTATGTGTTGTGTATTCATGTGACCAGAACTGCAAATCTGTAATTGGGAAAACTTTCAACTATATTACCAGAGATAACAGTCTAACTGCGGTTCGCGAGCGAAGTAGTTCGCGTTTTTGCCGGTGTACGCGGCGCGGACCGTCGACCACCGTCAGCACTGGCAGAAGTCGCTCTTGACTTCTCGGGCGATGTCTTGCGGTGAGGCGGGCGGGCGGTGTCAGTCAGCTGAGACGGAGGGCACTAGAGCCCTTCCTTCTACCTGCACTCGGTCGGGCCCGACCCAGCCCAGTCGGGGCCTGCGGCCGCTAAGCGCCAGAAACAGGAGGGGCCCCGCGGGAACGTGCTCCGCGCCTGCGGCCCCCTCCCGAATATGACTGTTTGTTTTGGGGTCGTAACTCGAGTTCCCCTGCGTTGCCACGTTGCCCGCAGGGCGAATTCTCTTCCTGTGGGCGGTCGGGGCGAATAAGGGCGGTTTTGTGCGGGCTGACGTGCAACAGCACCCCTGTCGGACTCGTGGACGGCGTTGCTTTGTGAATGAGGCTGTTAAGTGCTGAGTGAAAGAATTAATGGAGTTTCGGTCATTGGCGTTCAGAAGTGATTGTCATTACAAATATCTTGTCAAATTTTCTCCGTAGAATACAAATTATCTCGATTTCGAACAGTTAATTGTTTATGTAATCAAAAAAAATTCTTTGACTTCTTTGGTATAGTGTATCAGTTACCAGCGAAAATGTTTTTTTCTAAACGTACGTGTAGGATACATGCGATTTTCAGTCGGCTAGTTACTCCGCTGAACCGAAACAGAGCATTCTTTTTACCTTCTGAAGTGCCGTAAGAGTAGCTTTTGCCTGATATTTCGCGAACTAGTGAAATTCGTTGCATGTTGCCGGGGAGCGCGGAAGTAACCCGCTTTTATCAATGCATTTGCGTTTCTTTGCGCGTGGTGTTAATGGAATGCGTATTCGGCATAATCGTGTAAAAGCCATCCCGATGAGTTACGAAGAGACGAGTGAAGGTTTTATCACTTGACGTTTAATTCTCTGAGTGCGCCCGAACACAATGGAGCGGGGAGAGGCCAGCCGCGTCGTGTTGCTTGCTTTCAAACACCGCAGCTGCGCGTCCGCCGCTTCTGATGTCCGCGCTTCGAACCCCGAGGCGGCGACGGTACCCCCACTCCAACCCCCGCGGTCCTGGGATCGAGCCCCTGTTTTCCTGCCGGTGATCGAAAATCGGGTTTCAATAAAGCAAAGCAGCTGTTAACCCGTCATTAGCAGACCTGGGCAACAGGAAATCATCCCATTTGAATACAAATGTAACTCATCGCGCAGGATTACGTGCATTTGTTAGTGGTATTGATTGTAGATTTACGTTCGATGGTTTTTATCTGTTAGAGTTGCGGCTGTCGTGTTGCGGCAATGGCATACTGCATAGCGCTATGGATATTGGTGGGAAATACGGACATATTTTCTTGTATATTCTAATGAAAGGATGCAACATTTCAGCGCTTGCTACGAATTAAGTTACATACAGTTGCGAATATTAGACATAGTTTCATTGAATTAAATTTGTTTTAGAACAGGTGTGGAAGCGGTTTCTGTATATCTCTCCGTGTCACGTCGTCTCATTAAAATGCAGAGAATGATGATTCTGTGACAGGTTAGCTGAAGAGTCAGGCTGTTGAATGATTTAATCTTTTAAATGGGATACGGAATTCATCCGTGAATATGTATCTGAAATAAATTAATTGAATAATTTGCCCAATTCTTTTCACGGGGTAGATATACTGATTTCATATATAGTATACTGTGTTGTGTACAGAGTGGGTTGACAACCAGTGTATTCAACAGTAGCCGCTCACGGGAAAAATAACAAGAGGGAGTGATAAGTTATATTTGGTAGATTAACTAATTACTTATGCTATTGCTGTTCATAGGAGATGAAATGTAGTAGTGTCGTTAGTTCAGAGAAGTTTATCTTCAGTGAAAAGGCAAATACAAAGTGAGACAATTATTCTTTGTATATTTCTGTTATCTTGCCTACGACTGCATTGTTTATCTGCGTTACATAGTTGGGTATGTCATAGTGGTACGCCAGTGCGAGCCAATAAAGTGAAATTTCTAAGTATGTACAAATAAAAATGCTTTGAGATTTAAAGGACTCCTGAGATTTTTTCTGTTTTTAACCGTATTCAAACAATTCTAGTTCAAAACCTAAATGTAGATTGCAAATCAGTTTATATATATATATATATATA